TTCCCTGCAGACATGTATCAATATGAAAGCAGCCTCCTGGTAAGGCAATTTATAATGATTTCTTGAAGCACTAGCTGATCAGTAGCAGTTGCAGTCTAAGAAATAGGCATGTTAGAATGTCCACACCATTATATCAAGCTCAATCACTGAAGCTGAAGCCTTAACACAAATCTAAAAGTAATAACCTTTTCAATGACACAGAATATAAGAAGCAACTTTAAGAGAATGATTAATGCCAACTCATATACATAACAAAGCAAAAATGTTATGTTATAAAAGAACATGCAACATTTACTGTGTTAGACTTTATTTAAAGGATACAGGGGTTGTTGTCATCAATGCTGCAGTTGTCTAGGATCAGTGGAATTCCATCTAATAGATAAACCTGGATTAAAACAAATTTGCTTATATTAATACAAATCTCAACTCTCTACTGTGGAGACAGAATGCAGAAACACAGTGCGCAAAGATACAAGGGCACCTGAACAGTAGTTTTAGTAAAAACATGCAAGACAAGTTTGACCAAAGCGCATGGCAGAACAGGTGCTCTTAGTCATTTATATAATAGAACAGCCATACACTTGTACACTAATTTTACATACGTCCTAGCTCAAGTATTTTCTTAACAAGAGATGCGATATGGAGTCAGCTGGATGGCTTATGCCCCAGACACTGAATTAAAACCCTATGCTCAGACTGTTTTTAAAGATTCATGAACAAATGCATTTATATGGTTAATAAGGTGACATTAATAGGAATTTGTAAAATATTATAAAAACCACACACATGTATATGTATATAGGCCACAGGTACATTTATTTTGAGTCCCTTTCTGTGCCCGCTAAGTAGACTGCACATTTGATACAGCTCCAGTGAAAGAATTTGGTGCTGTTGCACCTCATTGTTATCTTTGGAGGTCCTCAGTTCAATCCACAGTTCATCAGCTAAGAAAAGGTACCTATCACACACAGACACTTATGCATATATACATATGCAAGAGGTTGTACATGCATATGTACATCTGCCTACATACATCAATAAGCCAGGCTGATTCTTAAATTACAGTAAATAGAACAGGTATTCTTTTATATTTTAGAACAAGAAGCAACCATTTATTAGGTTTATGGCAGTAGAAGTCAGCAGTTTCTAAGGATATTGATTTGCATAGTTCTATAGGTATAAAACCCCTTTTTCTAAATATATCTAGAACTAAAAGCAAAAGCTTTCACACAGGTGTTGCCTGTTGGCTACAAATATGCTTAGAAGTTTGTCCTTAACAAAGGATTGCTTTTATTTTTGTCAAAAGGAAAAAGTAATTATTCCACATACAGAATTCTTTTCTATATATATAAAGGGATCCATAAAAATAAAGCAATCCTTTGTTAATGATGAATGCTCATTAGGATGAACTTCTAAGTTTATATGTAGCCAACAGGCAACACCTGTGTGAAAGTTTTTGTTTTAGTTCTGGAAACTTGATTTCAAACTGAGACTTGGGGAGGCAAGAAGATCAGAGAGAATTCTAACTTTAGGCTCATAGCCTGGAGATAGGCTCATACTTCTCTAGGCACATCTCTTGTTCAGGGAAAGATATATTTTATGTATTGTGTAAAAAAGCAAATCATAAGTTTACATTTTGGGATGGAACCTAGCAGAAGTGTAACTGCATGATACTTTTTTTTTTTTTAATGGGAGAATTGTGCAGCAGACATCTGAACAGTATGCTAATAAAATCTGAATCGAGAGATGAATTCAGCAAATTACAAACTACATCCCTTTTATGAACTTCATAATTGATTCTCAAGACAACATTTGAAAGCAAAATCAATGGAGGGGGAAAGAAAGAAAGAAAGAGAGAGAGAGAGAGAGATGATAACTGATATGTCTTATCAAAGTAAACAAAGAAAATTCTGCTAGCTCTTGAAAGCTAATTTCAATCCATCTGTGCTAACATGCATTGATCTACCCGTAAGAAAGGTTTTATAAT